TGGCTGCTCCTCCCTGGAAGTGTTGAAGGCCAGGCTGGATGAGGCTTTGAGCAACCTGGTCTAGTGGAAGGTGTCCCTGCTGCTGGCAGGGGGGTTGGAACTGGATGATTTTTAGGTTGGATCCCTTCCAACCCAAACCAGTCTGTGATTCTGTGATTGAGGTTTTCCTGGGCTCACCTCTCAAGGCTGTCAAGGTCCCTCTGGATGCCATCCCTTTCCTCCAGCATGTTCCCTGTCCTACTTCACTTTATTGTGCTACAGTACAATAGCTTTCAGGCTCCCACCTCTCTAATCACAGGTAAGTTCACATGACAGAAAACAGGAACTTGTGTTTAGCTCCAGATGGATCAAGCAATGGCTCAGAAGTGCATCTACAGTCTGTAGACAAAGAATCACAGAATGTCAGGGATTGGAAGGGACCTCGAAAGATCATCCAGTCCAATCCCCCTGCTGGAGCAGGAACCTCAATGAGATCACACAGGAAGGTGTCCAGGCGGGGCTTGAATGTCTCCAGAGAAGGAGACTCCACACCCTCCCTGGGCAGCCTGTCCCAGGGCTCCGTCACCCTCACTGGAAAGAAGTTTCTTCTCAAGTTGAAGCAGAACCTCCTGTGTTCCAGCTCACACCCATTGCCCCTTGTCCTACCATTGGGCATCACTGAGAAGAGCCTGGCTCCATCCTCATGACATTCGCCCTTAACATATTTATAAACATTAATGAGGTCTCCCCTCAGTCTCCTCTTCTCCAAGCTAAAGAGCCCCAGCTCCCTCAGCCTTTCCTCAGCAGGGAGATGCTCCACTCCCTTCATCATCTTGGTGGCTCTGTGCTGGACTCTCTCCAGCAGTTCCCTGTCCTTCTTGAACCGTGGGGCCCAGAACTGGACACAATATTCCAGATGTGGCCTCACCAGAAGATTATTTGTGTTCTGCATAGGCTATGACTTTATTTGCAACTCAGCAACAGAGCATGTCCAAGAATCAAAACTCAGATGTACTTTTAAACATTATGAGCTGGGAAGCAAGTCCTGACAACAAACAATCAGGAGAGAGGACAGTGTTACCACCACTGAATTCAGGCCCAGATTATTAAACCTGAAATAATAAAAAACTAGAATTACATCCTGCTTCAGTAAAACGGAGTTAACAGCACTAGGAAGCAGAATCTGAGCTATGTACCAAACCACCTACCATTTGAAGGATAACCATCAAAATCCCCAACACAGTTTGGAGGTTTGAGGGTTTTGCACACAGGGCCACCTTGTCCCTTGCTCTACTCTCCCCACATATGAATAGTCACCTGTGTTGTTGACTATAAAGCCATTGCTTCCATTTAAATCCCTACAAGACTGGACTTGTCAGTTGCAGCTAACGTAGAAATTGTAGCCACGTGTCAAGAGTAATTTTCTCTCCAATCAAGGACTCCTTACATAACCTAATATCCCAATCAGCAATTTGGGATTAAAAAAAATCCTGTCAACTGTGCTATTTATAATAGGTAAATTTAAAAACTTTTTCATCATTGATGTAGTAAACAGCATTGTCATGTAATTAATTTGGCTGCAGTCACAGTATTGGCTGGACAAGCACAAATACTACAGCTGAGCCTTTGGGGAAAAAAAACCCAAACAAAAAAACCCCCCAAAAAACCCAAGCAACCCCAAACACAGAGGCCAAAACAGCTGCAACAGAGTAAATAAATAGCTTCCCATTTAAAAGCTACAAAGTCAGGTTTTAAAAGTGATAACCAAAACTTCATGTGCTTTATATTTGCCATGAAAATGAGTCTTAACAGCCACAGCATTTTCAAAATGTTCTATATTTGATTGAAGCATCCGCCTCAAAGAATAAAGTCAAGGTTTATTTTCAGTAACCAGGGTTTTTTTTTGGACTTAAAATGTTCCACTTTAAGTCTTCCCAGAACAGCTTAGATGTCCATGCAACAGAGGTGAGGTAACAGTTTCTATCTGTCACGTCAAAAAAGTATTTCTCAAAACTAAGCATTTTCATGTTCTAAGCATCCAAGTGTGAAAAATTTAAGTTTAGAAGTCGAATTTCAGCTTGTCACCAGTGCTAACAAGCCAGAACAAATACAAGATACCCTTACCTTCTGTTCAAATGAAGCTCCATAATAACCATCATTGAGACCAAAAATAATCTCATTCGGGTTTCTCGCGTGTATCTGTAAGAAGAGAAGAAAATAAATCATTTTACAGTCAACTTACTGTGACTTCACCCTGCAAACGAGCATCAACTGCTCTGTTTGATAGTCCAATGCATTTTTTCAGCACCTGTAATTCTTGACATACACGAAACCTAAGAAAAAACTGCATTTAACAATAGAAAAAGCATGTGTTTCACAGCTTTAATAACAGTCCCTGAGTACATTCAGACACTCTACTTTGAAATCAGAAACAGCAGCCACAGCACCTTTCTTATTGTTGCTTTTCCAGCTGACGTAAATAACTAAGACACCAGGAAACTAATCAAAGAGATAAGTCTCCAGAGTAATTACCTTTCACTTGATATTACCTAAAATGATACTCAAAATTAGGCTTTTGTGGTCATAGTAGACACAAAATTAGTGTTCAGTATTATAGCCAATATCCTGCTACTAATGTCAGGAATATTATTTCAAATAAAATGTTGCACTACAGCATATTATTTAAGGAGCCATTTCTTCTGTCCAGTAAAAACAAAAATTAAAAGAAAGCTACAATCTGTTGCTGGGCATCAGTCTGTTGGTGGGAGGTGGGGAGTGACTACCTTTGCATCACTGATGTGTTGTCCTCCCTCCTTCACCTCTCTTTATTTTAATTTTTGCTTTCTCTGTACCTCAGCCTCTGAGTTTTTCCTCACTTTTGCTCCTCTGACTCTCTCCCAGCCCATCAGGGCAGGTGGTGTTGGCCAGGATCAATGCACCACAGAGCTAGAGCAGTTGTTCCCCATAAAGCTTTCTTCCCAGGTTTTGAAACATCCCCAAATTAAAATAAAATCATTTAGTTTAAAAGTGAGAAATAAATAATGATCTATTCTAAATAGATCCTATGATCTATTTATTGATCCTATGAGTCAAGCAATCAAAAAGCACCCAATGGAAATAGGAAAACCTAGTTGATTCAAAAGGCACCTTTTTTTGGTGGTGGTTTTAGTATTTAATATGAGTTTCTATTTGAACCACTTTCATTATAAGCTCCACGTTACAGAAAACATCTCACTTCTCTTTCAAAAAAAGAGATAAATATCAGAATTAAAACAGATTTTACACAGTAAGCTCCTTGGACTGAAGATCTTGAATGAGATGCCATGATTACAAGAATGGAGTAAAACTGCAATATACATAAACATTATGATCTATGTTCATTTAACTGTATGTACCATCATATTGATATTTCCTTGAAACAAGGCATTGCAATTTAAAGCCCCAAGTGCTAGCAGTATCATGTAAGCAGTGACAATGGTAACTTAAAAAATGTAGCTAGTCAAGATTTAAAGCTTTGGAGTAAACTAACATGAATCTCTGCAATCAGACTTTAAAATAAGCCCTGCAAACAAAATCATTTCCTTTCTCAGCATTCTATATATTTGTTCATCCAGATTTATTTTTTCCTTAAGTAAAAAGTTGAGAATAAACTGTTTTCCCATTACCTGCTGGCCCAAGTACTTCAATCCATCTAGATTGACCTTCCATTCAATCAAAAGCTGAAAGTGCTCCTTCTTGCCACCCCAGATCCTCACAACAAAACAAGAGACAGAGGTATCAAGACGATCAGGCATTATTCCAAAGTCCAGACTTCTCCATGTTGGATTCTGTAGGTATTCAAAGAGGAATTAAAAAAAAAAACTCAAACAAGCTGAAAGTAATCATAGAATCATAGAATGGTTTGGGTTGGAAGGGACCTTAAAGATCATCCAGTTCCAACCCCCCTGCCAGCAGCAGGGGGCCCCCTTCCACTAGACCAGGTTGCTCAAAGTCTCATCCAGCCTGGCCTTCAACACTTCCAGGGAGGAGCAGCCGCAGCTTCTCTGGCCAACCTGGGACACCGGCTCACCACCCTCACACCAAAGAATTTCTTCCTAATATCTCATCTAAACCTCCCTCTCCCCATTTAGAGCCATTTCCCCTTGTTCTATCATT